GCTTTTCAGTGAATGATGAGATATTTTCAATTCTGATAACTTTTCTTCAAAGACCAGTCTCATCCCTGGAGTAATGCCTTTTGTATTTGCAAAGTTGTTGTCCCTCCCCCTTCCAGTGACCTGGGTGTGGGGGTGTGTGTGTGTGTGTGTGTGTGTGTGTGTGTATGTCCGTCCATGTCCATGTGAGCACAGAACAAATGAATGAATGAAAAAGTGAAGGGGGAATACAAGAAAAAGGCTAAACTTCCAGTAATGTAAAGAGAAATAGCATAAACTTTAAAAGCCTGGGACACAAGAAGATAAAGAGAAGAGGGAAAACAGAAGTGAAAATCACCAAAATCTCAAAGAAATAATATGAAGGAAAGTAAAGCAGATGAAAGACAGAATCCTGTGACCCTCCTAGAGGCTAATGAACAAGAGCAAGAAACTATAGAATTGTTAAAAAGGTAAAGTTCGTAAAAGAAATCTGGGATGAAATTAGGTCAGAATTTGTTGTTCCAAGAACAGAAATTAGCTCTTAGTGCAGAATTTGAAAACCCAGTTGGCAGAGTAGGAAAAACTGAATACACAATTTAAAAAAAAACCTTTCCAAAGAAGTGGAAGCTACTAGGGAGAGAATGACAGATTGGGATGTATTACTGACATGGAAGAAAATTCCTAGAAGAGAAGTAAAAGGCAACAGTTCTATTAAAACAAACATGACTAGAGTGACACCTGGAAAATAAGATGTGCAGGGATAATTTAAGAATCATAGATCTCCCCAAAGACCATGACCCATCAAACTGCCTGAATTCAGCAAACCATACAAGAAAACTGTGAAGAAGTTTTGAATAAAAATGAAACATTAGTTGAGAGAATTCACAAATCATCATCAGTCACCTTGCATGATGGATCAGTATTTTACTTCTTTCCTTTTCATCCCATTGTACTAATGGAAAACTCAACTACAGAAGGATGGAGCAATTTTGCTCAAGATTACACTTCTCATCTCTGACAAGAGTCCTTTTTTCCCTCCAATTCCCATTCTAAAATTTGTGTTTTTTAGCCTCATTATATCACTATGAGATATCAAAGTGATGATTATAGCAAGTGGAAAATACTTAGATTTTTTAAAAAAGATATTCATTCTGTCCTGAACCATGCCTCAGATCACCCCATATCTAGGCAAGAAGGAAGTGATACTTCAGTTGCTTAGATACCACCGCTAAATTAAATTAGTGGGGCAACATGAAAATATTGAGTCAGCACCAAAATTAAAGTCTTATTTCTGTTGAAACTTTCAACTGCAGCAACTCTCCACTCAAGATACACTGCCATATTTTCATTTCTAAATCTCCCATGAATCCTAGTAAACACAGCTGTTGGCAGTCTAAGCGAGCATCTTTGCAAGGAGGGGAACAGAGCAGAGCTTGGTGAATAGCAGTCACTTAAGGTAGCCTGCCCTGAAGAGCTTACCCTGGCCCCTTGTGTTTTCTGATAAGCTTTACTTCCCTTTTCCACACTTATGCTAGAAAGCCATCCCTTCTCTCAGCCTTTGTCTAGAATTGGACACAGGGTTGCTCAGAAAATTCTTGATTGAATGATTTTTTTTTTTGTGCTATCTCTGTGGTACGGGATGATTGTTGTCTGGGTTGAAACATCACGTGCTTTCCTGTTATGGAGTTTTTGTCCATCAGTGACTGTGAAGTAAAGTAAAAAGTGAATTTGAGGAGAGTGGAATGTAAGTAGACTAGGGGTCCTCATTATTGGAGTATTCATTATCCATACCCCCAGAGTGATGCTATTCTATATGACCCGTACCCGTGTTTTCATCGAGGTAGGGAAACTCCTATCAATGCAGATCAGTAGATGAGTAGAATAAAACTTAATAAGTTGTTGAGGGGCGGTATGAGAAGCTAGGTGACCTCCAAGGGTAATGTTACCCCAGTATGTGTCCCACCTGAGACTTGAACCCAGGTCTTCCTGACTCGGAGGATGACTCTTTATCCACTGTGCTACATTGCATCCCTGTATTTCTATGTAAGGGAGTAAAAGTCATCATAATATAAAGAACATTTACTTATGAACTGATGCACTTAAAAATTAGCCTCCACTCAGACATCCTTGCCATTTAAAGCTAGCCTCTAAACAGTCTGTCCTTACCCATTGCCAGTTAGCCTTTCCTGGTCTCTTCTTGATTGTTGTAAAGTGAATCAGGAGAGAAGGCTTTGAATATCAGAGAGTTAATAGAGGCAGAGGCTTTAGGGGAAATTTATGAAGCACTTGAATATTTTTGTAACAATCACCATCTTTATTATGATTTTTCTGTCATATACTTTTGTTGAAAAAATTACACCCTCAAAAAAACCTTTTTTTCTTTGTTCATTAGTACATAGTTATAATTGTAATCTTAGTTTTGTTAAATAAAACAGACTTATTTACATACTTTCATTTCATTTTTCAAGATAAAATCCGCAGAATGCCTTTTTAAAAACTATTTACTATGAAATTTTGATCCCCATTTTAAGTGGATTCACTTTAAGTAACTTTTTTCTAGTACCAGTTATCCATCAGTAACAAGGGTCTTGTGTATATTTTTTTGATCTGATTCTGAGTCCTTGGAAAAACAGGTTTTGAGAGGTCCTTAATGTCTTTAGGTTCAACTTAATGTCATGGTTTACAAATATTAAGATTTAATTTAATTCAACAAACATTTGTTCTGTGCTGCTTGTGTTCAAGTTACTGAGCTGGACCCTACATGTCAAAAAGTCCCTTCTGGTGATGATCCGATTTGATCTTTTAAAGATCTGACATGAAGGAGACCATCCATCAGCTTTAGAGTTTGTGATTTGGCTGTCAGATTTATTCTTACTACTGTTTAAAATTCCTTAACTTCCATTTGAAGCTGTACCTGCTTTGTCCTGGTCATGGGGAGAGTAGATGTTATCCCATCCCCCTGGCCCACCCAATAGTAGTGTGAGAAACATCTTAAGATTGCCACCATGTTGTGGTTCAGTCTGACACTCTGTGTCCCTTTATACTCTGTAGATTTCCTCTGTCGTTTCTGTCTTTAGGGTGGACATGCTCAGGCCAGACCCCTCTCCAGACTCTGCCTTTCCCCATTCTCACTTAAAAGTGCCAGGGTTTTTTCATGCTATCATTAATTTCCACTGTTGCCTTTTTTTTTTGCTAGGAGGGGAAGGCTAGGCAATGGGGTGAAGTGACTTGGCAGGGTCACACAGCTTAGCCTTTTCTTTTTGACGTAGATATTTCCTTTCCTTGTTTTCTTTTTTCTTCATCTCCTAATTATCCTTCAACCTGTTCTTGTTATTGGTGTGTATGTGATCCCAGGCATTTTCCATGTTTTAAAGAGTCCTGAATTCCATGTGTATTCCCTCCCTCCCTAGCAGTGTAACTGTAGGAAAGCCACTTAATCTTGCTACATGTTAGTTTCCTCATCTGTAAAATGGGGATAATAATGCCCATAAAACCTACCTCACAGATTTGTTGTGAGGATCAGATGAGCTAACGAAAACATTGCATAAATGTCAGCTGTGATTATTTTTTTAGCCAGTCAAATTCCCATGAGGCCAGAGTTTCTAGGGAATGGAATATGGTTCTGTTTCTCTATGGTTTTTCTGGCATAAACCATCATAATTTGTATTTTTTATACATACATATATATGTGTGTGTATGGATATGTGCACACATACATATAGCTGTGTGTATGTGTATACATGTGTGTGTATATATATGAATATATGCACATGTGAATCTTGATAGATGGGTAGATCTTGTTTGTGCATAGTTATTTACATGTTATCTCATCCCACCTCTGTTAGATTGTGAGTTCCTTAACGTCAGGAACTGTTTTTACCTTAACATGGTGCCTGGTACACACTAGGCACTTAATAAATACTTTTTGACTTGACCTTGGCATTCAAAGCGCTTCCTAACCCAGCCCCTTCCTCCCTTTCCAGTCTTCTTACACCTTACTCCCCAATATGTACTCTTTGATCCAGTGACCTGGCCTCCTGGCTGTCCCAGGAACAGGACACTCCATCTCTTGGCTCTGCACATTCTCTCTGGTTATTCCCCGTGTGTGGAATGTTCTCCCTCTTCTGCTCCAACTGTAGACCTCTCTGGCTTCCTTTAAGTCTCAACTAGAATCCTACTTCCTAGAGGAACCCTTCCCCCACTCATCTTAATGACAGTGTTTCCCTTCTTTTAATTGTTAAATATCTATTCTGTATATAGCTTGTTTTGTATATATTTGTTTGCATGGTGCCTCATGGCACCTCTGTCTCATAGAGGACTAGCACTTATGGTGAGAGGGCTTGATGAGTCCTTTTCAGGGTTCCTCATCCACCTTTGGTGTCTACTTTTCACCCAGCTCTCACCTGTGGCTCCAAGAAGCTGTAGCATGTGCAGTGGCTACACCACAGTAAACCATCTCAGGAGACAGGCTACAGGTTGAGGGTAATCGACGGGCCTCAGACCTGTTGGTGAGTTAAAGGGGTGTCTAGCCCAAACGTGAAGACTTCCCCCAGTAGAATAGGTGAATGAGAACAGTTTGTTGCAATGGCCATGATCGCTTAGAGTTTGGTCAGACATGGAAGATGCTAAGGTCATCCACTTCATCTTGGGCCATCTTGACTTTTGTCTTGCCACTATACTTTGATGACTCTGGAAGAGGAACTGAGGCTGACAACTTTGTGTCGTTCTGCCTCACTTAAATCCAGTTCATGCACGAGTCAAAACATCACCCCGTGAGTCATTGATTCTCTCCAAAACCTGAGGACAAAGAGCATAAGTTTCTTGAGGACAGGGACTGTCTTTTGCCTCTTTTTGTATCTCCAGCACAGCACCTGGTAACTAGTGGATGCTTAATAAATGTTTATTGAGTGATTGACTTGACTGGTGAATGGTGGTGAGGGCAAGCCAAGTGCCTATAGCATGACATGATGGTACTGACCACCTGGGAATAATAGTCCTGGTGTCTGTGTTCTCTTTCCCCCCAGGTCAGTTTTGCACAGAGGATGTGGACGAATGCCAGCTGCAGCCCAACGCTTGTCAGAATGGAGGTACCTGCACCAATCACAATGGGGGCTATGGTTGTGTCTGTGTCAATGGATGGAGTGGTGATGACTGCAGTGAGAATATTGATGACTGCGCCTTTGCGGCCTGCACTCAGGGCTCCACCTGCATTGACCGTGTGGCCTCCTTCTCCTGCACATGCCCAGAAGGAAAGGCGGGTAAGAAGAACAGGGAGTCTGGTCAGCTGGGAGGGGGTGGGGGAGTTTTCATAGCTTGTCCTGTGTGATACCAAAGTGCTCGAAATGCCATTTTTAAGTGTCGATAATTCAAAACTTTCCTTCTTGAAATGTAGTCCTGTATACAAAGTATGGGGAGTCAGAGCTTCAGGGTTTTATTTTTGTCCGGGTGACTTGGGGTTGATTGAGCACTATTCATTTTTGCTTTCTGTACCTCATTTTCTCTTGCCGAAAACAAGCTTACTAGCTGCTGACATCCGAGAGTATCTTTTCATCTCCTTGAAACTCTAACATTAAAAAACTCTTCAGGAATAAAAAGTAATAATTATTAGTGATAAAGGGACTTTGGGACTTGATCTCAACATGAAATGTGTTTATCGGTGCTCTCATTAAACTAAACTTGTGCCAAGAAAAAGTAAAAATATGAAGAGTCTAATCAGGAAAGGTCGAATTCAAGAATATCTCAGCCCTCTGCCATCATCCGCTGGGGCCTTTAAATGCGAAATTAAAGTAGCTCAAACCACTGCTAATTGAATAGCTTTTAGATGAGGAGGAAGCAGATGAAAAAGTTAGGAAGATAGAACAGTTGTGAAACATTTCATTATGAATGCTTTTTTCAAAGGCCCCACCTCCAGCTTTGCCACAGGGGTCTTACTCATGTGTCCCTAAGCGGACTGCAGACTGGAAAATCTAGTTCCCAGGTGACTGTTCTCGTTTGGTGGACAAGGGTGCCTGGTAATGTCTTCTTCAGAACCCCTCAGGTTCCCAGAAAAGGAAAGCTGCCGCTCTGAAACAGCTGTTTAAAATTAGCAGGACGCCATTCATTTAGGTTTACCCTCCTTGAGGTGGTACGAGCCTTATGCTTACCAGGGATCAGGAGTCTAGTGAAACTCAGCTTTTGCTCTCATTTGCTCGTCCTCAGAGAAGGGGTGAAGGGAGGTCTTCCTGTTCAGAGAGGTGGTCATGGGAAGGCTCGCATCATTCAGGATCACCTCCACATCCATAAGTCCATGTCCATCTGAGGGTAGAGGGTCCAGAACACGAGGACCATGTTGGAAAAGCTCTGGTTTCTTTCCTGGTGGGCCCAGAGTGGCCTCCAAGGCAGAACCAGGAGTAGAGAGAGATTTCCTGCTGTTGTAGATGTGCCCCACCCTACCAACACCAACCCTCAGGACTGTGGGTGTTATTGATCACCCAGGTTTGGGTAAACCTTCTCCGCTCTGGTAAGGGAGAGGATGATTTTCTTCAGTAATGATCTCAGACCACCTTAAAGATGACCCTAATGCCCAAGAGTGGGGGGGAGGGGGCATTACAGCCTTGCTGTACACTGCCCTGTTCACCCTGCACCTAAAATATTATGTTTGGTCAGTTCTGGGCACCACAGTTGCTAAAGCAATACAAGATTATGCCATATGAGGACAGGTTTGAAGGAACTGGGGATGTTTATCCTGTAGAAGAGAGGATTTAAGGGGTCGTGATGGCAGTCTTCCAGGATTTGAAAGACGGTCATGTGACAAGAAAAAGTTAGACTTGGTCTTCATTCTGTGGGTCAGAACTTAAAAGCGTGAGGAGAAGTCGCAGAGACAGATTTAGGTTTACTTTTGGGACAACATCTTAACAGCTAGAGCATCCAAAAATGGAAAGGGCTGCCTTGGGAATGAGTGAGTCTCCTCTCTTTGGAAGTCTTCTGGAAGAGGCCAGATGACCACTTAGATGGAATGTTATCACGGGCGTAGATCCTGCTGTTATTCTAACAGTGACCTCCCATTCCTCTTCTTCTGGGGACAGGTCTTCTGTGTCACCTGGATGATGCATGCATTAGCAACCCATGCCACAAGGGGGCGCTGTGTGACACCAACCCCCTGAATGGGCAGTACATCTGCACCTGTCCACAAGGCTACAAGGGGGCTGCCTGCACCGATGATGTGGATGAATGTGCCATGGGTGAGTACATGTGACTTGGGGCACCTAGGGGGCGCCATAGTGCACGGTGCTGAGTCTAGAGTCATGAAGACCTGAGTTCAAACCTTCTCAGGCACTTACTAGCTGTGTGACCCTATGCAAGGCATTGAACCCCTGTTTACCTCAGTTTCTCTACCTGTAAAATAGGGATAATAATAGCACCTATGTCGCAATGTTGATATGACGACCAAATGAGATAATCATTATGAAGTGCTTAGCACATTTCTAGCACATAGTAGGCGCTATATAAATGTTAGCTGTTGTGATTATTGACCTCAGTTTCTACAACTGTAAAATGGGGTAATTATAGTACCTACCTCCCAGGATTGTTATGAGAATCAAATGAAATAATTACTTTAAGTGCTTAGCACAGTGCCTGGCACATAGTGAGTGCTATGTAAATGTTAGTTGTAGTTGTTATTTATAATAATAATTATTGTTAGTAACCTCAGTAACTGTAAAATGGGGGATAATAATAGCGCCTACCTCCCAGGGTTAATGTGAGGACCAAAAGAAATTATAATTGTAAAGTGCTTAGTACAGTGCCTGGTGCATAGTAGTGCTATCTAAATGTTAGCTATCATCATCATCATCATTATTATTATTATTATTATTATTTTATCCTCTACATAAAGCAGAGAAGCACAGCCATACTTAGTATGCTTTAAATAAGCACAGACTCTTAAACTTGCATAAAACCTCTTTACCCCAAGAGTATCATGCCCACATCTGGTGAGAAGCTTGGCATATGCTCACAGCCTAGGAATTCTTCAGCAGAGCAGATATGGCCCCATTGCCGACAGTGAAGGGAAAGCCTTCTGGCCGTGTGGGTGGAGGCAGACAGGGCAGCACAAAGAGGGTGTTTGTCCTGGCTGACTTTATGGAGGCTGAATGGGAAACTGAGTCACCAAACCTTCAAGAGACTGGCCTTGCTCCTAATAGCAAAACTTTGGCTGGGATTGGAGAGAGTTCAGGTGTTTCTGCGGTCATTGGTCCTATCCCCTTCCTTCCCTTTGGTGGAACATGCCTCCCTGAGGGCTTTTTAATTCTGAAGATTTGTGTCTTTGCATTTTAGCCAATAGTAATCCTTGTGAACATGCGGGAAAATGTGTGAACACAGAAGGCGCCTTCCACTGTGAGTGTTTGAAGGGTTACACAGGACCCCGCTGTGAGATGGACATCAATGAGTGCCATTCAGATCCTTGCCAGAATGATGCCACCTGCTTGGACAAAATTGGAGGGTTCACATGCCTCTGCATGCCAGGTAAAGGCAGAGTCCGGGCAAGATCCTCCAGGATGGGAGCTCTGGGGAGGAACAAATGGGTTGTCATGTCCAGGACAGTGCCTGGTGACCAGAATTCAACTGTACCAAGGGCAGTCTGGTTACTGTCTTTGACAGTAAATCCTGCCCATCACTGCCTCAGGAGACACCGAAGTCAGCCTTCTACTAAAAGGCCTTCAAAGGCCCCCACATTGGTGAGCTGAAGATGCAAAAAAATAATTTGTCCAAGTCGTATTAATCTGATCCCCTTTAAATCAGGAGTTCTTAACCTGGGGTTCATGAATGTTATATGTGTGTATATATGTGTGTGTGTGTGTGTATGTGTGTGTATATATATCTATATATATACACATACATATATATACACATACATATATATATACATACATATATATATATACCTACACACATTTTATTTTATTTATCTTTTATTTTATTTTATTTTGTCTTTATATGTGTGTATATATGTATTATATACACATATTTCTATTTTATTTATCTTTATATGTGTGTATGTATATTATGTATATACACATATTTCTATTTTATCTTTATGTGTATATGCATATATATGTATACATATATATACATGCATGTGTGTATAAAAAACACTTTTTCAGTATAACTGGTTTCCATTGTAATCCTATGGATATATATTTTATTTTATGCATTTAAATTTTTTATTCAATTTTCTTTTCTTTTCAGTTCCACATTCTCTCCCTCCCCCAGCTCTCCCCCTACCTTCTTATTTTATGCATTTAAAAGCATCATTCTGAGGAAGGGTCCCAAAGGGATCCATGACACAAAATGGGTTAAGAACTCCTGCTTTAAAAAAACCACTCATCATATAAAAATTCAAATTTGTATAATAGATAGGTTAGTAGATTTGTTTTATATATTCTTATTGGTTTTTACTATAGCAAATGCTGTTTACTGTAAGATTCCTTTTCTTGTAGTGAGGGTGAGTATCCCCATCACATTGTGAATTTAAGGTATTTGTCAGTTGACAAAAGTGCCCCTCACCCATGACTTTTTAGATGCTCATCTCCTACGTAAGACAAAGTACACCTGTTTTTTTCTAGTGTAATTCTAACTTTTTCAGAATTATTTCCTTTGTCCCCACAGAGAAAAGTAAAATCCTAATGATGGAGGCTTATGCTGTTGAACCTATGGGTTGTGGAAGGATTGTATGTTAGAGTAAACCAGCCTGTCAGGCACATGTTGTGACTGGGCGTGCCCCCACCACGAAAACTCTGATTAGACATTCAGGACCACCCCAGATAGAAATGTGGATTCAGAGAGCAGGGGGTGGGGATGGGGGTGGTTGTGATCTCATCCTTTCAGAGAACGCTGGTTTGGACCTGCTCTTTGAGTAGTATTGTCAGTCTCAGAACCAGTTCTCAGAGTGTGGGGTGGTCATGCCCCATGACCTGGCATTTGTCTGAGTGTCCAAGTAGGGGACCTAACACACCAAATGACTTCATCATCTCTCCCAACATTCAGTTTTAACATCCTGTTGAAGGCTAGTAGACTGTCACGCACTATAGAGTGATAGATTTGGTGCTGTACACTGCCTTGCTAAAAAGATATGATCAAAAAACTGAAGAAAAGAAAGCTTAGGCTTCTGCAGAAGAATTTTGTTTCAAATATCAGATATAAATCACCTGAGCCAGCAGGACAATGAATGAAGTCACCAGAGAATCAGAACACGAACACACACACACACACACACACACACACACAGCAAATACTGGAGACATACAAGAGTGAAAAAGAACTTTGGAGACATCAGTTTTCTTGGATCTTTTGTCCTCATTCTACTCAACGATATGATGAAAGGTCTTCTGCCTATAGAATGTGGAGAGCAGTCTTATGAGGATGGGGATTTGATTCCTGAAAGGATTAATCCATTCTTTGGTCCAAGATGGTGCATCAGTTATTACCACACACCTTCATCACCCCACAGTGCTATGGTTATCTCTTACTCTTCCCTCATTACCCAAATGTTTCCCCTGGACTTTGATGGCCAAATCCCTTTTCTCTTTGTATGACCATTACCTTCCTATGGAGGCTGTAGGTATCTGCTGAAGTTATCGTGCTTTCTCATGAGCTGTTGGATACCTAGAATATACTGTTTTCTGAGCCTTTTGTATGGTTCATTCTGTGTTCAGGTTTCAAAGGCGTGCATTGTGAATTGGAGATAAATGAGTGTCAGAGCAACCCTTGTGTGAACAATGGTCAGTGTCTAGATAAAGTCAACCGCTTCCAGTGTGTCTGTCCCCCTGGTAAGTATTGCCACCACCTGTCCTAATTTCCTCTTAAGGCATAAAGCCAACTGACCAGAGGGAGGGAAGGAGTTGGAGAGGGAGGAAGGTGTATGTGGGATGGACCTCAGGAGCTCATTAGAATGAGTAATTTGAAGTTGGAGGGTATATATGAAGGTTAGTGAAAAGTCAGTGCAGTAACTCATTTGTCTTCTAAATCTCTTGTGGATAGAACTTTTAAGTTCATTCATAAAATCCTGGGCTTTTCTATCTCCATGTGTCTTTCAGGAAACTCACTCCTCACAGATGCTTCCCATTGTATGTTGTTCAGAACTTGATTTTCCCTCAATTCATATTCTTGTGGTTTCATGAAAGACCAATTCTTTAGTCATTTCCTGACCTATGGATCCAGAAGCAGAAATGTGGCAGTCTAAGGAAGTCCACTTCCTCCTTATTCCCCCAACTCTGACATGAATTCATGCCAAGTCATTTACCTAATGGTTTAATTTTTCCCATTGTTTCTTCAAAGGGTGGTTGCTTATTGCACCTGGAGCAATCATTGTTCCTCGTGGGCTTGTTTCTCCCTTGAATCTCTCTCTGGTTTACTTGGAGTTGGATGCCTTATACCAGGAAGTGGCAGTGTCCAAGAATAACTACAGGTGTTCATGGCCCAACTCCTTGTTCCCCAGTTAGTTTAAGCCAATTATTTCAGTGGCCTCTTGGTCAGAAGAGCTCTAATTATCCCTGACGGTGCAAATTGACTTTGCACCTGTCCTGTCCATAACCTTAACCAAACCCTTCTCTAGGGTTTTTACACGAGAGAAAGAAGCAAGACGATGTCAGGGGTGCGTCACCCTCTAAATCACATTTGGGCTTCCTCAGGTCACCACCTGTATTTCTTTCAGGTTTCACTGGATCAGTCTGCCAGATTGACATCGATGACTGCTCTAGTACTCCATGCCTAAATGGTGCAAAATGCATTGACCATCCCAATGGATATGAATGCCAGTGTGCTACAGGTAGAGCTTTGTTGCTTGTACTCTTTGCGAATGCCCTTGAGCAAAAGTAGGAGAGCACCTCTGGTGGCTTCCCTGCATGGACAATAAAAAGCAAGTTGGGAAGGACGTGGAAGGAATGGCCTTCCGTTGCATTTCCTTCCAGGGGATTTTCACTTCTCCTATTGCTTCCATCCTATAGGACCCATCTCTGCCATTATAACAGTTTGCCCAAGTGGTAGTCCCTTGGTGCCAATCCACTTTCTCTTCCATGATAACAGCTTTCCTGAGTGGTAATTCCTTGGTCAACGTCCTTCTGTTTTAGGTTTTGGCAGTAGTGAATTTCCAACTGACCTTACTGCTCGACTTTGTTTATTCTTTTGTATAAATGAATGGGTTTTAGTTTAATAGTTGTTTTTTCACCTATTGGGGCTTTTTGATAGGGAGACTTTTCCCTTGACCTCCCAAGGCAAGTAGCTGAAGAAAAAAACTCAAAATCCAGGGATAAAACTGTGTGAAGAGCAACGTCAGTCTATGGAAAAGTGAACAGATGTTATTAGCATCCAGGTGTCTCTAACTCTGGGAAAGGCTGGCTTTGCCCTCATTGCCCTTTGTGCTACTAAAGCAGTATAATGGAATAAATGTGGTCTTAGATTCACAAGGTCTGATTGTGGGTCCTGACTAGCTGAATCACTACGCCAAATGGCTATAGGCAAATCATATAACTTCTGAGCTCCTGGGAAATGGAGATAATACTTAGACAATTCACAGGATTGATGTGAAGAAGTGCTTTACAAATTTTAATAAAATACTATTAGTTAATAGTCACAGTAGAACTACTTGCATAGACATATTTTTGGGCCATTGGCACAATTCCTCTTTTAGCTGTGAACTCAAATGAGGATATATTTTGGTCCAGTCTATGCATCATTCTTGCCTTTTCCTACAAACCCCTGAAGTTTACAAAATGACATTTCCAGATCACTTGGGAAAGCAATTTTCTACCATCTTTGGTCTCTGTCTGAGAACATGGGAAGGTATTCTGTTTTCTTTGCATTCAAATAGGCTCACTTTTTAAAAAATTACTCCATTCTTAAAGAATCTAGTTATTGTGAGCATCCTAACCTCTACCTTCCAGTGACTTGCTGTCAGTACAAAGTCAGAACAGAGAGCCAGCATGGTATAGGGGAGTGAGTACTCTATCTAGAATTCCCAGTCCAACTAGCTATTTATTATCCAGTGACTGAAGGTGAGCTACCGTAGTGCTTTCTTTTGTAGTTGCCAGTTAAGGAGATACTGAGCTAATGCCCTCATGTCTGGTACCGTAGGAAAGATTCACTGGAGGGGTATTTTAAAATGTGAATTTATGTTAAAAGGGAGAAGGAGGCATTATTAGAGGCTCTTAGAGTTTATATCAGGGACATTGGAAGTATAGGAGTAGCTCACCCATGAGCCAGTTAGGGGCAGTTGGCCTTTTTCTTCATTGCCTTTAATCCTGGTGGCCATTTCATTCATTCATTAATCTAACAGGGAATCACCGGTTGTATGCATAGCACTGTGCAGTGTCATAGGAAAGGTTGAAGAAATGTGAAAGGATGGCGATTGCTGGTTCCCAGAGTTCAGTCTTGTTGGGAAGCTAGGACACACATACATAAAGTTGTTAAGTAACAGTTTACCGCAGCACCTGGGTAAGTGATAAGGGATTATTACAGAAGGTAGGCGCTCAGAGGACAGGAAGATGAATGAAGCCGATTAGGGAAGGCCTCATGGTGGAACAGGTGAGACTTAAGCTGAAGGTTGAATGGGATCAGATAGAATTAGGTGGGAAAGGATTTAGAGGAGGTGGAAAAGCATTCTCACTGAGGGGAATTGCATGTATAAAATGGGAATTTGAGACTGAATATGACCTATCAGGACACTGAGAATACCGGAGCAGTGCACAGGTTTCACTCTCTTTGAGGAGCAGTTGGAGATAAGGCTATATAGGTGGGATCAGGGCTTTGAATAGCAGGCTAGAGTTTGGACTTTTATAAGTAGTGGTAAGTAATTGAGGGTTTTTGTTTATGAAAGTGACATGGTAAAATTGGTATTTTTAGGAGGTTTATCTGGGAGAGGTAGCTAGGATGATTTGGAGATGGAGGAGACTAGAGACTCATTAGAAGACATGCAATATTCCAGATATGATATAACAGGTACTTGGTCAGGTGATATCAACTGGGCTAGAAAAGGAAGAATGCATGTAAGAGACATACAAACCAAAGGAAAACCTGACAGAACTTTTGTGACTAATTGGACATAGGTGATAGAGAAAAGATAGTTACTGGGACTATCTTCCGACCCCAGATAAGTCAGCTTGACTTTTTCCCTACATGGGAAGTAGGTTAGAGTTGGTAACATAAGGAAATAGGAATACCTAAACTTTATATGTTAGTAACACTTGCCCAGTGACCGTTTAGTCAAAAATAAAAATAGAGTAACTTTGAAATTAGGTTAATCAATGATAAAAATGGGATTTAAATTATCCAAACTTGATCTATGCATATTTAATTTACACCTGATGTTTAAGCATATCCTAAGTGAGGTGGACAGCAACATGATTTGATTGTTCTCTGCTAAGTCTCTACATCAGCAAACTCACAGGATGGGAATACTAAGTAGCTGGTACTGTGCTTTCATTCAGGAGTAGGCTCCCTCCCTGATGACTTTGACCATTGGTGATTTTGCCTCTTCAGGTTTCACTGGACTCCTGTGTGAGGAGAACATTGACAACTGTGACCCTGATCCCTGTCACCATGGCCAGTGCCAGGACGGGATTGATTCCTACACCTGCATCTGCAATGCCGGATACATGGGGGCCATCTGCAGCGAGCAGATCGATGAATGCCTGAGCAGCCCTTGCTTGAATGAAGGACGCTGCATCGACCTGGTAAACGGCTACCAGTGCAACTGCCAGCCTGGCACATCAGGTGAGACAGTCTTTGTTGCTGTTTGGCTTGGGAGCCTTACTCTTTCCCCACATTTCACCCACGGGCTCAGGTTTTCCTGGCATACGTGCACCAACTTTTTTTAAAAAGGCCTAATTCTGAGAAATACCCAGCCAAAGCCACATCTATAAATATCTTTGGAAGCAGACACCCCTCCTGTCCAGTTGCAAATTTAGGAATTGATCGTTTTTCTATGTGTAGATGTGAAGGCTTTAAGTTTGTTAGGATTATATGCATGTGTGCCTACCCCTTAGAACAAATGAAATTCTTTTTCTCGAATACAACAGCTCAGTTGATTTTGGGTAGCCTCTTTACTTTTACTTCCTCCCCTCTCTTCTAAAAGGAATGGGCATTTTGGTTTTCTGGTTGATCATTCTTTTATGGTCTCTTTTATGATCATTCTTTTATGATCATTCTTTTATGATCATTCTTTTATGATCTCTTTCTCCATACTCAGTCTTGAGTCTCCCGACTTTGCCTCTAGACCACTCCTGGACATTGGGAAGGTCACTAGGGAGAAATAGTCTAGGACTCCAGAAGGTGAAGGCAGTTCCAAATGGTCCTACTGTAAATCTGGGGGTTTGAATGCATACTCCCACCCCCATCCCTATTACAGATTTCCTGGTTAAACTCACTAAGCCCAGGTGAATGGCTATTTGTGTTTGTTAGTGATGAGAACATGCTACTTCATGGTAGGTAATTGTGAGATTATTTTCTTCGTTGGCAACATTTCACAGACTTCCCTGAATTCCAGTTTTACTTATTAGATGAATATTTATTGCTATGCCAGCTGTGTGTGGACAGAGAGGTACTATTTCTCAGATCAAAGAAAAATGTATTAGAGAAAGATTAACCAGTGCATGCCTCTGTGAAAAGGGTACCTGCCAATACATCGGGTGATTTATTGAAAACACATTTGGGACTTGAAGAAAGCAATCTATGTAGGGGGTGGAGGGGGAGGGATAGTCAGATGCCTTCGACTTACTATTTTTTTTTCTTTCCAAACCAATTTCTTCAAACATGTCAAAGGCCCTGGTCTTCATCCAGGACCTCATACATGCCAAGTTTGGAAACAAAGTCCTTTTTGAATTACTCAAGCATACAAAAAAACATCCCCATGCCTTCACAGCTGAAAATGTTTCTCCCTCCCTCCACGTTTAGATAACTCACTAAAAGGGCTGAATGGACCTTTGTGAAACCTTCCAAAAGCAATTTGCTTCCGGGCTGGTCCCCAGACATGAGAAATTGCAGCCCCAAAAGAAATTTGAGAGATTTACAAGCAAGTGAATGGAGGCCCTTAGAATGGAAGGGCTGTCTCGGCCTTTGCTTTCTATCCCACTTTATCCAGCATGCTGTAAAACTGGGTGAAGAGTTAGCTGGCAGGCACTTTGTTTTCCCTAGGATTATCCCATCATGCCAGAAGGTATCAGGTGGGTGCCCTGGGGGGATGGTGTAAGAACCTGTCCCTGAACAGGACAAGAAATCATTGATTGCATTTGCAGGCAGCACAGTAAAAAGGAGGGGCCAGGAGCTCGGGTTCCATAATCCAGTTGCCTTGGGGATATGTGGGAAGTTTTAAGAGAAGATAAATGAAATTTAATTTAAGAAACGCCAGATTGAAAGACTCCATTTATTCCTATGCTCTCTAGTGTTTTTAATAGGAATGGGTGCTGTATTTTGTCAAATGCTTTTTCTGGATCTATTGAGATAATCACTATTGATTAGAGAAATGCAAATCAAAACAACTTTGAGGTACCACATCACACCGATCAGATTGGCCAACATGACAAAACAGGACAATGATAAATGTTGAAGGAGATATGGGAAAATTGGAACACTAATGCATTGTTGGTGGAGTTGTGAAATGATCCAACCATTCTGGAGAGCAATTTGGAACTATGTCCAAAAGGTTACAAAATTGTGCATACCCTTTGACCTAGCAATACCACTTTTAGGTCTGTATTCCAAAGAGATCATAAAAACGGGAAAAGGACCCATGTGTACAAAGAGATTTATAGCAGTTCTTTTTTGTGGTGACGAAGAATTAGAAATTGAGGGGATGCCCATCAATTGGGTAATGGCTGAACTAGTTGTGGTATATGAATGTCATAGAATACTGTTGTGCTATAAGAAATGATGAGCAGGCAGACTTCAAAAAAACCTGGAAAGACTTGTATGGACTGATGCTGAGTGATGGGAGCAGAACTAGGAGAATGTTGTATACAGTAACAGCCACATTGTGAGATGACTAACTTTGGTAGCCTTGGCTCTTAACAGCAAAGCAGGAATCTGAGACAACTCCAAAAGACTCACAGTGGATAATGCCATCCACATGCAGAGAAAGAGCTTTGGAGTCTGAATGCAGATGGAAGCATACTATTTGTTCTCCTTTTCCTTGGTTGTTTTGTTCTATTGCTTCATTCCCGTGATTCTTCCCCTTAGTTTTAGTTGTTCTTTACATCATGACTAATGGGAAAATATGCTTAATATGAATGTGTAAGTAGAGCCTATATCAGACTGCATGCCATGTTGATGCAGGGGGAAGGTCTTGAAGGGGGAGAAAATTTAAAACTCAAAATCTTATGGAAGTGAATGTTGAAAACCAAAAATAAATAAATTATTTAAAAAAAAAGAAGGAAACATCAGATTGTAACAGGTGAGGGGAGGATACTATGGGATTTGCAAGATTAGAGGAATGCCTTAGTGACCTCTGCTCTGGAGAGAAGACAAAAATGAAATAGCCCTTTCCCTTAAGAAGCTTCCCTACTGCTAGAGCTAACATCATGCATTATTCCCATTATAATGGGATAAAGGTTGTCTCTGTATATCTTTTACCCACTTGTCCATGTTCTGCCTGCAGGGCAGCAGGTAACAGAGTAAGGAACACTGAATAGAGAAAATAAGACCTTTACTTGAAATACCAAGGGCCCTGTTAGTGAGACCAGTGCTGTTTATTTTTTTCTTTTTAATCTTTTATTTTAGCTAATACCATTATGAACAGGCAATTGAGAATGACAATTGTGCAATTAGGCCATAACTGGGTATAAATTCTGGGACAAATTATGAGTCAGCTAAAGACTGCAAACCAGTTAAATGACAAAATATGTAATTTTGTGCAGTTTCTCTTTTTTATTTCTAACCTTACTGTATCTTGGTATTTCACTGCAAAAATTAGAAAGTACATATCTTTAGTTATATATAGGTATATATCTTTATGTATATAAATATGCTGTATAGCTATATATAATATATATTACTTTATGTGTAGTCATGTAACTTTAAGATGGGGGGAAAAAAACCTCAGTGAGAAGTAGTGATTTCTCTCTCCCTGCTTCTCTGCCATACGTGCCTGAAGGAGGCTGACCACTTCTAGTACTTTTTGGTGTTAACCTAACCAGGCTTCACCATTATAGCAGCAATCAACAGACGTCTTTCTGCCTAGATTGGAAGCTTCTTGAAGGACAGGCACCACGTCTCATTTGGTTTTGTTTCTCCCTCAGCGCTTGCGTTGCATTTTCAAACAGCAGGTGTTCTTTAAAAAAAAAAATTGGTTAAAAATTTGGTATTAGAATGACAGAGGGCCTTTAAAAAAAAAAAAAAGCAGGGGCAGCTAGGTAGAGCAGTGGAGAGAACTCTCGCCTTGGAGTCAGGAGGACCTGAGTTCCAATGCAGACCCAGACACTTGACGCCTACTTGTATGACCTGGGGCAAATCACTTAACCCGATTGCCTATACAGAATCACAAGAAAAAGAGAGAGAGAGACAGAGAGAGAAAGAAAGCAAGCTTCTTTAGGACAGCTTTTGACAGGGGTGGCACAAGTGTGATGCGAGCTCAGGTTCAGTAGGATTCTGTATGTGACTGACTAATTGATTTGTCTTGTCTCTATCTTGTCCCTGAAACATCTCTTCTCTGGTTACAAGTGAGAGATTAGTTGAAAACTGGTTGCTGTGGTTTATGTAATAATAACCAAAAAAAGGAATTTAATTAGATACCACCTGAGACCTGTAATCCTTTGTGGCTTTTTATTCTACCCAAAGAGGGTTGGTTGAGTTTTAGACTACTTTGGCACATCACCATCACCACCACCATTCGGAGGTCTCTACTGTCTTTGACTCTGATAATAATAAAAAATGGGAAGTACCTCACTGAGATAGTTTGCTCTTATCTTTGCAGGGGTGAATTGTGAAATTAATTTTGATGACTGTGCAAGTAATCCCTGTGTCCATGGGATCTGTATGGATGGGATTAATCGCTACAGTTGTGTCTGTTTATCAGGATTCACAGGTAACATTCCATTTCTTTTCAAAAGCCTTCCTTCTAGCTCATTACCCTCTGAAGAGTGACGTAGAAAATTTAACTTTTCATGTTCCCTTCTGCTGGGTCCAGGGCTTGGCCCAGAAAGAGCACTTCTAATTCTTCCCTGTAATATATAACATGTGATGTTTTGAGACATCACTTGGGGATTTTCGGTCTAATTGCTCAGTGCCACCTACAAATAATACTGGAAGGGAGAGAGAGAGAGAGTTGTATGTATAAATGTGTATATATACACATATACAAATATATATTACCTACACACACGCACACACTCACACACGCACACAGAGAGTATATATACCAAAGGTAAACACCAGCAAGAAACAATGTCCGGGGGCAGTTAGGTGGCACTGTGGATAGAGCACCAGCCCTGGAGTCAGGAGGACCTGAGTTCAAATCCGACCTCGGACGCATAATATTTTCTAGCTGTCTGACTCTGGGCAAGTCACTTAACCCCAGTCACCTCAACAAAAAAACATAAACAAAAACAAAACAGTGTCCAGAAATACTCTGCCACCACTCCCTCCCCCATCCTGGGTACTTCTTTTTGAAGAATTGTTGGGTGAGATCAGGATTTGGGAAAAGACAGCTCAGTTTGGAGGCATGACTGAGAGCTTCCTACCCCAGAGAAAGAGACTATGCAAAATTCTGCAAACTGTAAACTCCTCTTAGATGATTCTAAAAGAACAGAACAATATTCCTCTCCCTTTTTAGTCTAAAACATTCTAGTGAACGTGTTGGAACACAACAGAGAGGATATGGTCAGTGTACCTGCGAGGATAAAAATATGTCCATTTTCCTCTGTTTTCCTTTGATCAAAAGTCAGGGCATCTGCAGAGTAGCCTCACATGCTGGTTAGGAAAACACTGCCCCATTTTTTATTTTACAGGACAATACACGAGTAGGTAATTGATAGAGGCTTTTTAAAATTCAACAAATATTTTTAAATGATGTTGCGGTGATAGGCCTGCCACCCAGCTATTTACAACCCTCATAAGAAATTTCCTTCCTAGACTTTTAAACCGTGATGTCAGAAGGCAGCTCCGAGCCAGCTACAAATGAACGCTACCATTCTCCTGCCACTGACTTATTTTCCTTTCATGTTTCACAATTGCTTGTGTTCTCCTGCCTGGCATGCCACAAAGGTTATATGGTTGTGGGGCACTTGAGAAGGATATCTGTTGCCCATATTGGGTCACAGTAACCTCTCTTCATTGGGGAGATCGCTCCCATGCCAGGTAGGATGGAAACTTTCATGCCAACACCCAGGGCTATATGTGGCCTGTGTCAGCCAGACAATATTCATGCCCTGAAATGTGCTACTTCAGAGTAACTGATAACAAGTCAAACACAAAAAAATGCCTACTGGACAAAAGCACGTTGTTGCTGGAGAGGTAACTAACTCTTCCCAGTAGCCAGGTAAGCAGCACTTTGGAAGAACATCAGCCTAGAAGACTCTTCCAGGTAACAAGTTTTGTGTTAAAAGTGACTATGCCTCAGGCTGGCTAATTTTCTTGGAAAGTTCTTGCAGAATACAAAGATTCTTTTCGGCCTTGTGCCAGACAAGAAAAGCAAGAGAGAAATAAAGAGGTTGGGAATATTCTAAAATAAACTTAAGGTGTGGTGTAAAACTCACGCCAGGCGGGAAGTACAATGTTATGATTTGGGTATGGGCCTAGGTCGCCTGTCTGGGGCCTCTCTCCGTCTCTTAGTCTGGGAAGTTTAAAATACCAATGGCTCTAGCGGTGTGTGCCCACCACCTGGCAGTGTGTGGTATCGTGTTCTTTCCCTTATTCTATTTTTTGCCATTTTAATAACAGTTTGTACAGTTTATGGGAGCCTTAAAAAAAAGATTAAATTCTGTATCCTGTACCTGCTTATACTTTCTAATTATATAGTAGCTAGGAAATATTGAGGCAGCATCTCAGAGAGAGCCCAAGTGTTAGTAGATGGTAAATAAATTAGGCACACATATACTTCTTTTTAAAAAGTTTATTATTAAGAATTTAATTAAGAATTAGTTTTAAGAATTTTATTTTCTTCTTTCTCCTGTTGTCCCCCAAATAAACAAAACAAAAAAAAAGGAAGGGAATACTCTTGTGACAAATATTCATAGTCAAGCATAGCAAATTTACTCATTGGTAAGGTCCAAAACTACATATCTCCTTTTGCATTTTTAATCTCTTTCAGGAGATAGGTAGCATGCTTTGTTACATTTGTAAATTAAGGTGAACTGGGATACGGTAGTCTGAGCATACACTGTCATCTCCCAGTTTACCTTAATTTTCAAACGTAACAACTTCATTTTTGGTTCGTTGGAATCAGTGGTCATTATTACTTTGATCAGCTTTCTGGATCCTTTGAAAATTGGTAAACATATAATCCTATACCTCTTGGGCTCCTTATTTTAATTTAATCAGTAATTAGGGAGTTACCTACAAGATGTATGATAGTGTACTAAGTACTTCTGATCCCTTTTTCTGAGAATGTGAACTCCTAATGGGAAGGAGCTATGTCTGAGTCATTTTCTTCACACCCATCCTATACAGAGCTCCTTGCAAAGTGCCCTTTGAGAAGGTTAGCCTGGAATCAGATTCCAGGAAGAGTGAGCGCAGTTAACAACAAATATTTATTAAGTTCCTTTCTAAATGTAATTCAAGCGTCCTGGGCACAGGGGCTCTAAAGCGGGAAGCAGGGAGGAGAAATTGGGTTGAATTACTTACTGAGAGTAGGATGTCTTTTCAGATTCAATCTGATTTTGCTTCCGTGTTGGGTAAAATGCAGTCTTGGTCTTGACATTTCTGTCCCTCTCATGCTGCTATTCTTATTTCCCTGCCCCAAGCATTACTGTTATTTTGTCACTTCTCCAAAGTGCTACCCATCCATTAATGTTTCCTTCTTATCCCTTCTTACCAGTATGCCCACGCTTCCCATTCTTGTCATTCCTCCCATACAAAGTGAGGCTTCCGTAAACTGCATGAAAGAAGGTTCATCGCAGACCACATTAGCATCAAAAGTCCATATGACTCAATGATGAAGATAAGGAGAAGCCCGCTACGAAGTAAAAAATTCTCTCCCCAAAAGAACCAAGGAGTAAGGGAAGCTTTCCTCTGACCCAGGATTGGATTGCTGCCTGGGGATGGTTCTCGGGTCCAGGAGTAGCGATTCATAGCTTCGTGCCAGTGGCAGATATCTCCTGAGTGTCTTCCACCAGGACTAGAGTTGTCCGATATGATGTAGAGCTGAGAACGATAGCAGATATCACCTAAGCCAACATCCTCGTTCTACATAAAGGAAGGGAAACCTGGCCAGCTGTGAAGTATCTAGCCTTTGGTCACACAGGTGGACTTAAACCTGGGTCTTCTAACTTTTAAGTCCAATGTACAAGGGACAGGCCAAGGAAATAGTACTTAAAAATGAGTTATTAAGAAAATGTTATTTTAAAAAAAGGAAAATAGCTATCACTACAATACTATATGTCACCAAATATGGTATTATTTTATTTGTGTAATACTAAATCGCCAGTAATGAATGATTTAGAGAATTGGGTAAGAGAGAAAAACAGTTTTAATATCCACACATTAAATGTATATGTCTGTTTATTGTAATTTCTGGTTTTAAATACATGATTGACATGGGGGGGGAAGAAGAGAATGTTTTGTGTTTGTTTCTGTTTGAATGTGGTATTCCTTAAAATCTGTAAATTCGTTCATATCCAGAACTTGCTACCATTTACTTGCACACATGTCTCATAGGCACTTCAGACTCAGCATGTCCAAAACAGAATTCATTCTCTTTCTCCCAAACCCTGCCTTCTTCTCAGCTTGCCTGTTTGTGTCCAGGCCACCATCATCCTCCTAGTCACCAAAGTTTTGTCTTATCTACCTTCTTAGTATCTCTTATACATGCTCCTTTCTCTCCACTCACATGGGCACCGTCCTGGGGCAGGGTCTCATCACTTCTGCAATAGCCTTCTTATCCATCTCCCTGCCTCAAGTCCCTCCCCACTCCAGTCTGTCTACCACTCAGCTGCCCAAGGAATTTTCCTGAAGCACACGACTGACCATAGTACTCCCCTGCCTTCTACTCATTAAACTCCAGTGGTTCACTGTTACTTGCAGTATCAAATATGAATCCTCTGATTGTCTCTTAAAGGCCTGCACAAACTGGACCCTTCCTCCCTTCCCAGTCTTCTAATATTTCCATCCCTCCATATACTCTATGATCCAGCAACACTAGCCTTCTTTGACCACTCTCTCTCCTCATCTCTAGCTCTTGGCATCTTTGTAGACCCAACTGAAGTCCTGTCTTCTCCAGGAGGCCTTCTTCCCTCCCCTACTCCCTACCTTGCTAATGCTTTCCTTCTGAGAGTACCTTCTATTTGAGGGGGGGGGTGTATTATGTGTAGTTATTTGTATGCTGTGTCTCCCTGTGAGCTTGTTGAAGGTAAAGACAGTGTTTTTGTCTTTCTTTGAATCCCTGAGTTTAGCACAGTGTCTGGTACATAGTACACATAGTAAACTCTTAATGTATGTTGGCTGATCTGTGTGACCTTGGGCAAGTCACTTAACCCAATTGCCTAGCCCCCCCCTCCAAAAAAAAGCGAAAAAAAAAAGAAATAAATGTTGGCTGACTGGTTTGGTTATATGCAGTAAAACATTGGTTATTCAGAACGCCATTCATTGGATTCCTTGAGTTGCCTGAGGGAAGAGAGGTAACCCCGAGAAATCAAGACTATAGTAAGATTTTATTCCCAAAACCACCCTCTGGTTTATGTCCTATGTTGCTGATTTAGCCCAATTTCCAGCCCAAATAGCCTGATGTAATCCCAGATGGCTGGAGCGCTGCCATATGCAGGTGGTCACACTCATCACCAAATTAAAATTGTTAGCTAAATTGTTGGTTCAGAGAGATTTTAAAGGTCCTTCTAAATCATTATAAGAGGATTAAATTATGTTCACACCAAGGAAGGAAAGTGGAGTGAAATAAGGATTATATCAGTATATAAGGATTATACAAATAAGATTTGAAACAAAAATATGTACCTTTTAAAAAACCAGATCCCACCCCACCTTTACCCCAGACCATACCATTTTCTTATCAGTGCACTCCAACAGCAAACTCTTTTTCTTTTCTTTCTTCCCCCCTCCTCCTCTTCTTCCTCCTCTTTATCCAGGCGTCAATTACAGAGGGCTCAGACTTTTGTTCCTCTACTATCATTCCATCACAATTCCTTTGAAAATTTTATACCACAATTTTTCCATCCATATCACAGTCACCTTTTTGGCCTCCAAGATAGTTTGTCTGTTTTCCACAATGTGCATGTAATTTCTCTGATTATGGTATACTTTTTGGGGACAGGGACTGCTTCATTTTTGTCTTTCTGTCTCCAGTACCAAGCACATAGGTGCTTGATCAATATTTTTTGATTGAGTGATTCAGCATGTGAATGATTGCAATAAATCTCAGTGGCTTCAACAGCCAATTGATGCTCCTTATAATGGCTTCACCTCACTGTTCTTTGACACTGTCTCCAGTGACCTTCATCTCAAGTCAAGTACACTTCAACTACCTCTTGATAATTCTGCAGCACAGAGACTTTGTTATCATTCACAACTCTTCTGTCTCTTTCAGATCTGAAACTCCAAAATTACATTCTTACCCGTCCTACCGTCTCACCTCCCTGCTCCTACTTAATTGACTACTCATATTAGAGTCTGACATCGCAGTTTTTAGTCCCTTGATTCTGTCTGGTTCTCCTAGTCCATCACCCCGTTGTTGACCTCACTTGCCTGCGTACCCAGCTTTGACTCAGTTCAGTACCATTCTAAAACTGTTTTGTCATTAACTAATCCTAGATAAACTTACTTTCTGCTTTCTTCTCTCCTACGTTGCTGGAAAAAAGTAATAAAACTGTGTTGATGAGGTCTATTGTAAATTCTTTCAGCTGACCTCTTCTGGGCTAGATTGCTCATTGGGAATTCTTTTTATTTATTGGGTACTGACTCCCTTTCAACTCTGCCACCGTTATAAACATTCTCCATTCTCATCAAGTGCGCATACCTTCTACTCTGCCTGTCCACTCCGGAGATGCCCTCATCTCCTTTTAACTGCTCAAGAATGTCTATTTGATGTCTATTTGAAAGTCTGTTAACTTCCTCAACTTCTCTTCTCTTTACTTCAGAACCTCCCTACTTCTCCAGGTAGTCTCTTTCCTCACTCCTGTCTTGGAGGACGAGCCTCCCCTCTTATTCATCAAGATTAATCCTTCTGCTTATATTCCTGCTGTCTTCTCTTCCTCCTTCCTTTGAGATCTTGCATTATCAATTTTCTCTCCTTTCTCGTGGCTTGAGTCTCTCCTGCTCCATTGAGTGTTTGTTTTCTCCTTTGTCTATACCAAGGGGGAGGCCATATGTGGCCCTCTAGGTCCTCAGGTGTGGCCCTTTTGTTCAGTCAAAGTCACTTGAGGACCTGGAGGGCTACATGAGGTCACAGGTTCCCCGCCCCTGGTCTACGCAATGTCCAGTCTGCCTTCCCTTGACTGCCTCAGTATCCATCTTCTCTACTACTTCTCACGTGATATCTGAGATCCATCCCAGCTCTGAAGAATCTGTGACCAAGCCATGACTCTTCTCCAGAAGAAGCCTATGTTCAATGCCTTTGGCTTTTTATTAGTAACTTTCCCT